CTTTAAAGTTCCATGTGTTCTCAAGGTTAGTCATGTTTGAAATATTTGAAAGATCATTCATCTTTGGAGGTTATCATATTCACTTCAGTCAATACTTGCATGTTAAATTGTTTAAGTTATGCACCTTATTGAGGTCCCAACACTTGCAAATTAAATTGTTTAAGTTGTGTATCTTATTGAGATTCTGTTTGTTATATGCATTGTTGGAGTCCTAGTTCAATTGAAAACATGAAAATATAGAAACATTCACTTCATTGATAAGGAGATCTATACAAAGGAGGGTCTGAGCCACTATATAAAAAGCAAAATAAAAATCCTACGCTATGTTAACTTTTTAGCTAACCTGTGGTTGTGCATTTGAATATCCTTCAGCACCTCTTAGCATTCCAAGATTACACTAAAGGCCCAAACACTACCAAGGTCGCCATCAAATCCACTTTATCACTGGTAAAGACATAGGTCTGCCACCTATCAATCCAAAACTTTTAAAAATTTATAGTGGCATCATGGACCTCAGGTGACAGCATGTCCATCATTGTTGGGGCAATCTTCTCATCCTACCCAATTAAAAATATTCCTGATTTTCGAGGGTTCTTACTACTGGAGCTTTCTTCACAGTCTCGTAGGTTTGCTCTACCTCCTTTGCAACCTCTTTACAGATTCCCTAACCTTTTGAGCTTTTGTAGCAATGAATGAAGACTTCATCAGCTTGGGAGGAAGAGAAGGTGGGGCTTGCTAGGCCACCGGGCCGAACTTCCCAAAAGTAGGCTAGTGGTATGGGAAGCTTCATATTCTTTTGAGGCTCCTCCACATTTCCCTTGCCCTTGTCAACCTTTTGGGCCCCTTCTTCATCACTCATTTCAGCATGTTCTTTGCTGAGGTATTCTAGTTTTCCTAATATTTTTAGCACCTCCAGAGGACAGCTTCAAAGCCCGAGAGCTCACTGTGGAAGTCGCGCTCAAAATAAAAGCTATGTCAGGGGTGTGGTACTTTTTTCTCTCAAAGTTATATGCAAATAGCAAATACATAATGTTAAGATCAATACTAAGTACTCAGTACATCTACATAGAGTCTCAACATTTACCTTTTGAAGCCATCAATCCAAAGTCAAAGAAGAATTTACTACGATCAATCAAACAGTCAAAGTGGCACGACCTCTGAGGACATCTACAAATGTCTTTGATGACATCCCACTCAGCTTGGAAGAGTTCGAAGTGAGTCCCTAAAATTGCAAACCAATAAGTGTCAGATAAAGATAAACAAACGACAAGGTGTTTTTTTTTTTGAAAGATAAACTTAAGAGGATTGGAGTACTGGGTCGACATAGTACAAGCCGAGACCTTATCTCTCTCAACCACCTGCCACTTACCCTTGAGCTAGAATCATGACTCTTTCTACACTTTAATAGAAGATGTAAGACCACTATAAAGGGGCATGGGCCCCCAATGAATCATATAATACTATCCCTTTGACTTCCCTTTCCCAAGTATTCAAGGTTGGAAAAGAATTTAAAAGAAATAGAGGGACATATCGACACTAAGGGAGGTCTCATTCCAAAGGAAGTATGCCACAACCAACTGGCTTCACTTAAATTGGTTTGGAACCAACATATAGGATCTCAGCATTGCCCTAAAAAATGGGTGTAGAGGTAGACACGTACCTGCCTTAAACAAATATTCACTAATTGTCACACAACCCGACTTTAGATAACAAGCATGTTTGTAGGTCTCGGATTTTAGGAGTTCTATAGAATCTGGGATCCTATATTTCTCCATAAGTTCAACTGATTTGGCAGAGCTCATGGTAGAAGGGATTTTTATAGCCCCACCCCGTTTTGTAGTTAATGGGACCTCACTCATAGCCTAAAAACTTTCGTCCGACCCCCCGAACATAGACTGTTTCCCAACCCTATGATGGTTACCCCTACTGCTAGCACTAGACTTAGAAGCCATTGAAATTGAAAATAGATAGAATTAAAGATGGAAAAATACAAAAAGTATCTAAATGAAAAGAAGCTCTAAAGATTGTGACGTCGTCGAAAAACAGGAATGGCTGGAAAAGCTTTGTGAATGCTAGAGAAATTTGAAGATTTTCACAAAGGCAAAAACTCATACGGTAGATTTTTGGCTTTTATAGGAAAAGAAGATAAGCTTAGCCATCAGATCAAGATCTATTTCATTCGAAGCGTCCATTTTTAATTGCACCTGAATTATTGAATTTAAACAATTTTCCTTCTTAATGCCTCAGATTGATGCGTGTATCGCATGCACAAGCTTTCGCGTGTTGATCTCAAAATGTAGCAACATGGCCATCGTTGCGCATTCAGTATGTAATGACTGTACGTGTATTGAAATTCGAAACGCTTCAATTGTATTTTAGTGGTAACGTAAAAAAATCAAATTATTGGTTCTATTATCAAAATCACGCTTTATTGTCAAATTAAATAAAAGAGCCTCAGCAGTTCATCACTTCCCTACTTCGGCTTATCAAACAAATTACAGATGCTAAATATAGGAGTCTCAGCATTTTAGCACTTCCCTACTTCGGCTTATCAAACGAATTTCTACTAGACTTACGAGAATAAAGTTCAATTTCGAACTCAAACTATGATATCAACATTTATACTTGGACTTGAGGGACCATTATCGAAAACCTTACCATGACAAGAAAATTACTCTAAAGAAATTCTACTCAAGACAGAAGTACATGCATGACATGAATAATCATACATGGACTTGGGAGACTATTGTTGCGCTTCGCCACCTGGCATCCTACTTGGCCAAACCACCGACTAAATTTGAAGCATCGAAATCCACTTTCACCGAAGCGTTTCCATGTGAATGGAAATGCCGAAGCTAAGCCAAAGTAGTGAGGCTCAAAGTTGAATTCGAAGAGCTATTGTGACAAGTGATTATCCTCATTTTAGGATCCTAAATTTATGAAATCTTATTGGAATGATTGATTTAACTTTCTGTAATAAGTGATATGTCAAAATCTTGCCAATATAGGTTGTGGTGTGTCCGAATGCACCACAGGCTAGTGAGATCAAACTGATGCCTAGGATATGATGCTTCAATTAAGGAGATGAAGACATGTGCCCCTCATCCATTGGACACTATTTTATGTGCAACACTATAAATACTCCATTCTTGTATCATTTTAAGGTTAATGCAACTCTTAATACTTAAAGCTATTCTCTGTCTTCTCTCTTACTTATTTCACATTCATTTTAGTTAAATTGTTGATGATTGATTATTATTGTTCAATCGTCTCTAAACATGTTGTCGATGTCTGAACATTTTTGTCTCGTGTCATAGAGTATCGCCATGTCCATATATGGTAACTTCATCTCGACCAAGTCTCCAATCAAAACATGTTAGAATTTGCTTGTAGGGATACGAGTGGATTGGCATCTGTTGTCCACATCACTCTTACAAAAAATGAAATTAACAATATTACAGTAAATAACTTGACCTTTGGGATACAAACAATCATCAGACCATTCTTGGTACAATATCCTAACATTTTAATTAGTGTTAAGCGTTTATATAACATTTAAATAGACGGGAGGTGGGAAGGGTTACCTGACAACTTTGGTTATTTAGATTTGATGGTCAACAATTAGTTACTTAATATCAATTTTTATTTCAAGTTTAGCGCTAAGCTCTATTATGGGCCTGTTTGGGCCCAACTTTTCCTCAAAAAATTAATTTTTTGATCGTTATTTCACTATTTCAGCCATCATATTTGACTTCTTCTCTCACAGGTGGACTTCAATTTTCTCCTAACGGTCAAAAAATCAATTCTCAAAATCACTCCCAAACAGGTTCTATATTTTAAGCTACCACTAATTTTGTTTTCAAATCTGTGATCTGTACAATATTTATTAGTTTGATGGGATTAAAATTAATTTTTTTTAGTAAATTTTGATTAAAAAAGTGATAAAATATGTTGAAAAAAATTGTGGATCTAATGAAATATGTGGTTAAAATTTGTTGCTGACTTTGACTTTTACTAAAAGTTAGATTTCAATCCTTACAGAAATAATCTTCTAAATACTGGTGCTTAACTTATGTTAAGTATTGGTGATATGCCACATCATCATTTAATTGATACCAATGTGTGTCATGTCACCGGTGCTTAACATAAACTAAGGAACGGTGTTTAAGAGATCATTCTTGTCAATCCCTACTACACAGGGACTACATTACTTTTTTGTTAGTTATTGTGATTTAGTTGAAACAAAATGAATATCAATGAACTAATGAAATATTGACTAAATCAACATGTCTCTCTTTTATTTCATGAATATAAATTATCTTGAATCGGGCAATGAAACAAGTTGATCGAAACAGAAAAAGGAATGTAATAAAATAAACCCTATCCAAGTAAAAGCTGATGACTCAAGTTTGAAAAACGAATAGCAAAAATGGTGGTCAATTTGACCCAAACAAAAATAAATTTGCAATATCAATATTAAGCCCATATTTGATGGTTATTACAAAGAGAAATTAAAGAAAAATAATATTTTAAATAAAATTTTTGAAGAATATTATTAATTAAAAGTTAGAAATTTTTTTTAAATTTACGTAAAAAATATTTTTTATATGTGAAAAATGAGTATGAAAAATAAATTTATTTTAGGCCCTGTTTGTTATCTTTAATAAAATAAATTATTTGTTATAATAACATTCTCTACCACAAATTCCCATAATAAAATATTCTACATACAAATCAATAAAAAAAATTTAAATTTCAACCGCATATTCTTCAAAAACTACTATTCAAAACTCTATGAGGGTATTTGGTAAGAATTTTGAAAATTGACTTTTTGATCGTTAGAGGTAAAAGTTGATCCTACCTACCTGTGAGAAAGGAATTTAAAAATGATGATTGAAATAATAAAATAACGATAAAAAAATTAATTTTAATTGACTTAAAAGCCTATAGAACACCCCTTATATTTTCTCCTAAAATGGAAGATACACAACCTGTTACTAGGTTTGCTATCAGACCTGCTACAAAAAATCCCGAGTTTAAATAAGGCCCCTTGATCTTGAATTTCATGGGGCCGGCAGCATTACAATCAAGGGTAAATCCCTGTTTAAATCCAGGCCAAGATCAAGGGCCGAGGGTGGTTGGCCTGTTTGAATGGCAAAATCCGTCTGCTATAGCTAGTAAAATGGCGTGGGGGCACCTTCACTGAAATTTCCTGTCTTGTGTCCATGGCCTAAGGCTAGGGCTTTTGCTACTGACAATTCGTGCACAAATCAATCACTTTCCCCTTCGCCATGGCCACTGTGACCTCATTATTGCTCTTTGTACTCTGCGCTAGCTTCGGCCTCTCTTTCTCAGGTTCGTTACTTGAACTTTTTTACTTTTAATTATTTATATTCTGAAAAAAATGGAGGACTATAGGAGTGATTTGATTTGTTCGAGTCTGTTTTAGTTCTATGTTGATCAGAACGGTGGCCAGTTAAAGTTCAGTTGCAGTTGGCTTGCTTCATGTTTAGGTCATTTCGTCGATTGTTGATGATTATGAGGTTTTGCTGTGCAAGAATCCTTTAACTGTCGCTCTTATGTTACGGAGGATTGAAATGATACATTTTCTGGGAATTTATTTAAAGATTTCTCGTGTTGGAGGAATGGCTGGCCGTGTGGCAAGCGTTTTGGGATGTTATAAATAGACTCAATCATTAGAGAATGGCAAGATAGCAAAACATTGATGGGCATGCAGCCCCAAGTTGCATGTACATGATTGTTAACACTAGATATGCTCAATTCATGTATTGACAAACTAGATAATTGAGGTACCACTAGTCTTTCACAAGAAACCTTTTTGGTGGTAAGAGGTAACTAAGATTTAGGTGAATATACTACATAGATAAACTCTGCATTGCATACCCCATGCACCGACTACTACAAAAGAATTGTGTGCTACAAGATTTCTCATCTATGGAGCAGTATAATTGAAATGTTACTGTCACCTTGCTGGTGAGGAAGAGACATTTAAAGTGAGCAAGAGTTTATCAACTTCACTGAGTATACGTATCTTCCACAGAAAAAGAATGAGATCTTCGAAAAAATATATTCGATCTTTAGTTTTTTGCCTTACTTATAGGGAAGAAACTTCATGTGAACTAGAGTCTTATCTCTGATGCTCGAGCTCTTCGAAATGGTCGGAATACCTATGTTAGACACGACGCAGGCATGGGTACGAGTTATGTGTCGGATCCTACAAGTTTCAATTGGACACTACGTAGTTTTTGCTTCTTCATTCTTTTTCTTCTCTCTCTCTTTTTTTCTTTTCCTTTTAAACCTAGTGTTGCCTTCGAAATGGTGAAGGCTGACGGCGCTAGATTTTTCTTTCTTCTTCTTTCTTTTTCTTTCCATTTTCTTCTTTTTCCTTCTTTCCCTCTCTACATAGGTGGTTTAGGGTTTTATTTATATAAAATGAAAATGAGTTCCATATAGTGCTATTTAGTACTTCACTAAGTTCAAGTTGTAATCAAGTCCCTTATTTTCTATTTTATATGACATTTAGTAATTAACTTCTCATAATTGAAAACTAAATCTCAAAATTCTATTTTATTCGTTTTAATCTCTTATTCAATATTCGTTTCCTTCTTTGTATACAATTGATTTTGGTTTATTTAAAATGACATCTTGAGTTAGCAAAAAAAATTGAAGCTTGAAAGACGTACTCACGTACCTGTATCCGAAATTTGGACTCTTTGTAGCCATTTCTCCATATCTTACATTTCAAAAAATAAAAAATTCCACATTTATATATGTACCCGTACCCCGATACCCGTACTCGAGTCCGAGCATCACAGGAATGTAGTATATAAAAGGATGTATCTTTTCTTAGAATGGACTATTAATTGCAGGTTTAAGTTGCAGTTGGGGATTACAACTTGGCTTCCTTGTTTAATTCTAATTAGTGTTGGATTTTAGGTTTTAAATTGTGATATGTTAGATTTTATGCGCAATATTAAAGAGATGAAAATGAAAATCAACACAAGAATTTTACGTGGTTCGGCGATGTGCCTACGTCCACGAGAGCGAAGCGGAGATTTCTTTATTCAGCTGTTAAAAATAGGGTTACAACATATTATTTATACTAACCCTAGCCTGGGCTCATATAAGATTTTAAGGTCCGTACAGAAAATACCCCTGTACCGTACCTCGGGAGCGTTGCCCCCGCACCTCCAACCCATTCAGTGTTCCTAACAATCAGACAGTGAATTAAACTCGCGCAAGGCCGATGTCGTCGCTCCGCTCCGTCCCGACATCGGCCCATTTGATCCAGAACCTATGTTCCACTCTATATGAGTCACATGCACAACATGATAAGCCTTTGCTTTATTGTATAACAATCAATAAAAGGTTAGATAAGTTTGTTTTTAATGTGTAAGAATTAAATAAGATCTTACGTGGAGAAAGTGTAATCAATCTGCAGTGATATCAACTTTTGTAATTTTTGTGACAGGCATGCCCGTGCTGAAAGAGTTTTCCTCTTAGTTACAATAAACGGGTTTTATGAAGACTGATAACTACACTCTATTGGATGTGTTTGTTATGAATTTGATTCTAAAAGTAGCATCAAAGGGATAGATTATTCATGAATACACATGTTTCGTCGAAGTAATTGTGAGATTAAACCAAAATTGGCTGACCAGAAAAGCTCTGTCTTAAGACTCAGTAGAGATCTCTAACTGCATGTAGATGTTAATACTTGGATCATTACATCAATTGACAATGTTCCTGTTCTAGGTTACTAGGCCTTTTTTTTGGCCCTCATATTCTAAAACTCACTTTTCTCCAAACTCATTTTCAATCACACATTCCCCAAATAAAACAATTTTGCACGTGGATCCATAACTTTTTCTTGCTTTTTAACTACACATCAAATCACTTTTTAAAAAATCTATTCTAAAAAATCTCTACCAAAAAGGGGCTAAATATCATTTGCATGTCAAACCTTTTGTGTTTACAGGAGTATATTTAGTTGAACCTGAATGTAATATGTATTCAAAAGATATTGATTGAGAACATACATGATTGTAATATATGAAATCTTCATCTTGTTTATTATTGTTAAAGAAGATTTGAATATATTAGGTGGTCTGCCAAGTCTCTAGTCTGGCTGCGGAAGCAGTGGACTAGTAAGTAGTTCTCTTTCTATAAGGTACTTGTATGCTTCTCTTGTGCAAATATCCGAAGCTGCAGTTCACACTTAAGTGACTTGAAATTTGTACTTTGCTCTGTTACTTTATTTATTTATTTATTTTTTCCATTTTTCCCTCATGTTAAATTTCTTTCTGTCATGTTTCTGCGCAATATCTTATCTGTTCTAATCTTAAGGTTTATTGGTATTGGACAGATTCAGGACAGGAGAACTCATTTGAGTCGGTTCCTGATCTGGAGAAGTCAATGTACATGCATGTTGATGGATACCCATGCGTACGGGTCCTCAACCTTTCAGGGGAAATTGGTTGTTCAAGTTGGTATTTATATTATATCGTTGATTGAACTTGTTGCATATCTAATGCATTATTAGCCTCCCTCTCTGATTACCAATTTGCATTTCAGATCCTAGTCGTGAGAAGGTTGTTGCTCCAATTGTTAGATACAAGAGTGCAGATGAGCTTCTCAAATCAGCTGCAGTACTGGTTTCTATAGATGAATTTGAGATCTTACTTTCAAGGCATGTAATGTTTTTTTTTATATGGACACAATTTTATATCTTTCTCCTTTTTCTTTCTCGTGGTCTCCTTAATAAAGTCAATACCATTAGTTAAGTACTTTGAAAGTGCGTAAAAGGAAAAGTAAGTAATATAGTGAATAAATCAACGTACTTAGAGATCCTGACCTGTATCATTATGTGTGAACCTATCCCTCAGGTTACTTTTTTAGAAATTAACTCTATGAAATTCGTTAAACAAAATGAGAACATGTACAAGCTGAATAATTGCAATTTAGGTACCTATAATTACGTGCTAGCTGAATGCATGCTGTTTGGAGTTTGATTGATGATGATCAATCTTCAAGGGCCTTATTCCTGGATAGTAGTTCACTTTTATCAGATGAAACTTTAGATAGTTAAACACTCTTTATTAGTAAACAATATCTGATGCTCAGTTGTCAGGCTAAGTCTTGTAACCTAAATAAGAAGGCATATTTCAATGCCCTGGTCATTGAGAAGGTATAATTGTGCTTCTCCTTCCTCTCGTTAACTGTCACTTCATTGGGGTTGAATCTTTGTAAGTGGAAAAATTTAGTATTTGAGTATTCATCATACAGATTTATCTGGGGATAGTTTTACTTTTAGTAGTAAGATAGATGCAAATTCTCCAATGAGAATGTTAAAACTTTAACTTGTGAGAGCTACAATGTATTTCTTACACGGTGTTTCCTTGCCCTCAGTTCATGTAAATTATGCAGGCTCTCTTGGCGATAAATTAGATATTTGTATCCATTGCATTGCATTTGGATAAAAGGAGTACCATCTGCTAACTCCATAAGAAAGGAGAAAAAGAAGGAAATAAATGAAATGACATTTATAATTCGACAAATATTTGTATTGGGTAAAAGTTGAATTTTGTTTATATAAACTACTATAATAAAGTAAGCTTGAACCAATTAGAATCTTTCGTTGACTCTGCTTTCAATTCACCCTTTCATTTGCCAAAATATCTTAGTAAATCAATTTTCACAATTGATATTAATTTTGGTTTCTCTCTCCCTTTTCTAAAATGTTGTATAAGAATATATTTTTTGTGAATGAATAGGACTAAGGAGTTTCTTCAAGTCTATTTTAGATGTATCAATTGGTGGCACTTTCATTTGTCGGTATATTCTTCTTTTTTTTCTTTAAATGAATTCTAGTAATTGTGCATCCATGTTAACATTCCTATTTTCCTGTGTTCATCTTATAGTTTTTTCGTCCTTGACGATGGAGCACTCAATATTATGAAACTCAATTGGTCTAACAATTGTTGTATAGAAATTTTTAGGTATCTTATGTTCAGTTAGAATCTCCAAAGAATTTCTCTAATCCATCCAATTTGGTCTAATCTTTCATGTTACGTTCTTTCTCCAAGATAACACTAGATTTATTTAATGACTCCAATATCTTCCTCATTCATACTGTGACTAATAGACCTTTTGTGTTGTATTTAACTTAAAATCTTTAAATTCTCAATCCGCAATTGGTGTTTATAATTTATTCCATTTGAATCTCAAAGACTGAAACTATGTCATTTAGAGAGTAATGTATGCCAACAAACATTCTCTTGGCTATGTATGGTAAGCTCATTCTGACTTAAGCAAAGAGATGAGGACCCAAGTCAAACCTTAATGTTTAAATTAAAAGGAAATTCTCGGCAGCTAATAGAGATTGACGTCACTGTAGCAGGGAAAATATATACATGTTCATGTTTGCCAGCAAAAGGATTACAAAAATTAAAATTACAGAAGGAACACGCTCAAACAAATAACTGCAGCTGGAATGACAAATACAAGAGTGGAATATCAAAGAAGATTCAAGAAACTGAATCTTCTTTGTTGGTGCGGAGATCAACCGCTAAAGGAGAGATTCCCTTCTTTGTATCGTATTGCCTCAGTGTCCACTGCCATGGTGAGTGATTCCTTAGACATTCATAATGGGAGTTATAGCTGGAATATAACTTTTGGGAGGGATCTTCAGGATTGGGAATTGGAAGATTATTCGCTGTTTATGACCATTTTATATGAGGCCCAAATTCGGATTGGAGAGAGGGATTGTATCAGGTGGAGGACAGCCCAGGATGGCATTTTTTCGGTTCGCTCGTACTTTGGTTCCCTCATGGGATGTGTGAATAATTCATTTCCATGGAAGTTGGTTTGGCAGTGTAAATTGCCTCCTCGAGTGGCATTCCTATTGTGGACAGTTGTGAGGGGACAGGTCTCAACGGTAGATAATCTTCGTCGTAAAGGCTTTTATGCAACCGAGTGGTGTTATATGTGCAAGAAGGATGGGGAGACGATTGATCATTTGTTCATTCATTGTGATGGTGTATGTTGGATTTGGAACAGTATAATCAGTTCACAATCTATGGATTGGGTGATGCCTCGTCGTATAGAGGACGTGATACGGGCATGGCGTAGAAAACTTCGGGATAAGGATAGCAAACTAGTATGGCACCTTATCCCGGGCTGCATTGTTTGGTGCGTGTGGAGAAAAAGGAACAATCGTTGCTTCGAAGACCAAACAAAGACAAGAGAGCAGATAAGAGAAACATTTTACTTTACCTTGTATTCTTGGTTTAATGCTGTGGCTAGAAATCCTGTAGATGGGTTGCCTAATTTCATGTTTTTCCTTAATAGCTTAAAGTGATTGTACACCCCCCGTATATTCTCTTTTAAGTAATAAAATTATTTGATTACTTATCAAAAAAAAATAAGACATCCCTTTACCAGTTATTAAGAAGAAATTTTATATGAAAAGTAGAAAGCAAGAAACCTGGCATCATTTTTATGCAACTGAGAATTAATGTTCGTGATTGTTGGCAATTTCTGACATAATTTCTATGTTGTTTGAAGACCTTCGAAATGATGCTCCTCTGATATTACCCAATGAAATATCTCCAACAGCATGATATAGACTTCCAAATTTTGATTCTCTACTACATATTCCCCCCATCTATTCTATGAATCCTAGTGAGCATGGAAAGCTAAAATATTAGGTTGATTTGTTATCGAAGGGATTCATCAGTGAAGTTCATACCCTTGTGTTGTCCCAACATTACTTACTCCCAAGAAAGATGGTACCTGGCTTGTGCAAATTGATTGCAGTGCCGTGAGAGTATCATCATCAGATAGAGATTTTCAATCTCTTAACTAAATGATATATTACTAATAGAAAGTGGTTCCAACGGATGAATAAATGATGACTTTCAAGAGAAAATATGCTCTTTCCAAATGGCTAACCATGCTTTTTGGCCTATTAATGTTCCTAGACCTTCACTTGCTTCATGATTTGCATATCATGATCATTTATTGGGAACTTTTTGGTTGCTACTTTAAAGAGTATGGATATTAGACCAACATATTTTTTTACTTTAGATTTTATATTTATTCTAGATGGATTTTTACTTTAGATTTTATATTTATTCTAGATGGAATTCTGTTCCTAACACCCTTTTCCTTGCAAATGACACATGGCCCTTGTTTTAGCCCTATTTGTTGGATAAAAATGTTTTCTTAAACAGTGTTTTGACATCATTTCAATCACACATTCTTCAACAAAATAATATTGCATGCAATACAAAAATTTTCTTATTGTTTAACCACACATGTTTCATCAATATACTATTCAAAAATGCATTTTCCCCCCAAAATGGGGTTCAAACAAGGGCATGATATGATGAATTGTGCATGTTATGACTTATTGTTTACAAGAAAACTTTGTTTTTTCAATGCTATTTGGTTTTTTATGGATCAATTTAGCATGTAGGCTTTGGTTTTTGCACGTGATTCTCCATGCAAACCGTTTGTGGTCAATAGGTCAAGCTTATGCTCTCTATGATAATTTCTTGACCTTTTGCTTTCTTAATATTTATTTCCTTTCTATCTTATTAAAGTGATTGGTGCTGTGCTAAATCTGATTTCGTATAGCAATCTTCTAATTATCATTGTTGTTACTTGTTATCTGATTGCAGATTATCAAAAGATTTAGATTTTGCAGGGAAAGTGGCCGGTATATTGGTTGAATCACGAACAGAGGTCTCTAATGGGTTGAAGGGTAAATGCAGACTGCAGTTAATTATTTTTGTCTGTTGTAGAGAGAGAGAGAACAAAAGTCCATTAGCAAAAATAATTAATCGTATTTTATGCTTCCAGGGTTTTCTCCAGATGGAAAGTTTCCCCAAGCAGAATTTGCTCCATATCAAAGCAACAATTTTACGTGGAACCCTCCTGTATGTCAACTGAGTATATGCTCAAAGTTCTCTTGTTTACCTGTTTTGATGTATGCTAAAAAGTCGAAGGAAAAATTTGTTTGAAATTCATATCTACATTGAAAAAAAAAAAAAAAAAAAAAAATTTTTTTTTTTTACATGTTTTGATGTATGCTAAAAAGTCGAAGGAAAAAAATTTTTTTAAAACTTTTTTACATAATAAAAAAAAAAAAAAAAAAAAAAAATTACAGGTTGATCTGCATTATCAAGTTTTTCCCAACTTGCAGTTTAATTTTCTACCTATCAGTTCTCGTTGTTTCTGCCTGCAGGGATCTGGAATTATGTGGAAGGCTTATAATTTCCCTGTGTTTTTGCTTTCCAGGACTAGCACCTTGATTTTGCAAGAGGTAGTTTGTGTTCTGGAGACATTCTTTACCCACCATAATTTTGTTTCTTGGTTAATTAGTTGCCAGAATAAGTAAGGGCGTGTTTGATTACATTTATTTTCCATGGAAAATATCAGTTTTCCACCTAAATTTCTACTTGGAGTGTTTGATTGCTATTTTTTTCCATGGAAAACATTTTCCAACTTTTGAAAATATGCCTAATTTTCCTTATTTTTAAGGAAAATATTTTCCTTGGGTGGAGGTGGTTTTTATTTTCCAAAAAGATGAAAAATATTTTCCTTTCTAGGTGATATTTTCCATGTCAATCAAACACACTCTAAGTGTTCATTTGAGAAGAAGCAAACGAACCCACTTGAAGAAAGATATTGTCAAGAGTGTCAGGTTTCCATTCAATAAAATCACTTTACATACCTCATTTGGTTAATATTTTAAAATCAAATGGATTGATGTCGAAAAGAGCATCTCAAATTTCATTGGGAACTTAGCTACTGTTCTTTTTTGACTAATATTTTGGGTACCTTCTGTTTGTGCAAGTTCTGCATATAGCTTTCTGTACAGTGGGGATTGAGATGACTTATCCACAATAGAATATCAGAAGTCTACTTATCTTGTTATGCTTTAATTTTGTTTTCTTAATTAATGGAGAGTTGAACACTTTTGCTGTTTGGGTTGGATCCCACACAACATTGGTTTTGCATTCTCTTCTTATATCTGATTTTCTAACAACAAAACCTCTCTTGTGCATGCAGGTTGTCATGAAGAATGAGAAGACCAAGAAATCCAATACTGAAAATGTAGCTGAATTTAATGTGGTGATGCAGGTAAAAGTTTTGGCAAGATCACAATGATGAAATCAGCATGTAGGCTCTAACAACATTATAATAAAACCTGATACTACAGAGTTTCTATTTGTTTGCTAATGAATGCACCTAATGTTTTTAACTTTACTAGACAACGAAATCTGGAACTCATGATTCAGACTCTTGTTTGAAAGAAGAAACTTGTCTACCTTTGGGTGGATACAGGTGATTTCTTGAATTTTAGTTCAATTTCTTTGTGAAGTACTAGTTTTACATGCTCTAGTTCAAAGGATTTCTAGAATTTTAAGGTTGGTGTCTTTCATCATTATAGGCTTGAAACAGGAGCAATGAGTATCCAAGATTTTCAGCTAGATTTTTAGAAAGCAACAAAGTCAATCAACAAGTATGAATATTTTAGCAGTCAGTCATATGTGCAATAAATGCAAAGCTAAAGAGATCTTAGGCAAGATCAACAATTTTATATCATTTAAAAATTATCTTCAACACTTCCTCACACGTGTAGGCTAGATTCATTTTCTCCCATCAAAGCCTAATACGTGGATAATTTTATTTAAATGGGTGATGGTGAGAATAAGCTTAAGTGGAGATAGTGCTAAATGTATATCATTTTAATATTATTTTCGACATACAATGAAGCTTTGCTTCTTTGTTTGAGCACTTTGTGTTTCTCCAATAAAAGTTTTGGCTCTTTAGGTATTAGAGCAGAAAGTTGGGAGTGTAAAGCTAGTCCCTCTTCTCTAGCAAATAGTTTTAGTAAACATTCTTTTTAAGTTACATGTTTGTCCTTGGTGGGTGTTGAATTCTTGGAGAGGTCTTCAAATGCTTTTTATATTTGTTTCTTGATTTTATTACTCAATAGCAATTTGTATAATTATATCCAATATCACTCAACTGTCACGTAATATAGTCTTATTAGTTCATTGGTTTTACAACTGGTATTCCTTGTGTTGCTAAGTTAATTGACCTTTTATTACCTACTGTATGAAGTGCAGTGTCTGGTCAGCACTTCCACCTATTAATATTTCATCTTCACAAAAATCAAAGCCAGTCATAGTAACTATGACATCAATGGATTCAGCATCTTTTTTCCGTGACAAAAGCCTCGGTGCAGACTCCCCCATATCAGTGAGTTATCCTTTTCACTGCCATTCATTTTTGTTTTTTATGTTGAAAATCATATTCTTTTGTTGTAATATCTTTTGTTTGCAAGATCTGAAAATCGCTCTCAATGTTAAAACAAATTTTTAGGGGTTGATTACATTGCTAGCTGCAGTGGATGCTCTTTCATATCTCGATGGCTTGGATGAACTTAATAAACAGGTTGGTCTCTTGATGAATTTTTGAAGTGAATGTTCATTTTCAATGGTTTCAACAAGGCATAGCTTCTATTGTAGCCAATAGTTGCAGTTGTTACTGCTTGTTGGTCTATTTATTTTATCATGTTATGATAATGAGGATAATTAAATTGCTTATATTCTTTGCAAGTTTGCCTGTGTTTCTTCCTACCTGTAGGAAACTCAGTTAAAGGAGAGATGCAGAGGGTGCCAACAAGAATAAAAATTTGTCGAATCTTATGAGATGATCCTTCTATGAATACCTAAAGGTTCAAGTTCATAGAATATTATGTTGGAACTAAAAGTTTGAAACTATTACTGAAGTTAAGTATAGAGTTTTGAAGGAGATAGTAACACAGTGGAATGAGATGGCTGCATTGAAACATGACAAATGATGTATCGGGAGAGTTTAAAGTTAGAAAACCCTCGAATAAAGAAATATGGTGTTGGAACCTGAATGCTTAGATTGCTGTGAAGATTTTAGAAAACTATGTTAACTAAATGGGAAGCTAAGAGATTGGTTTCAGATTCCAGTGTGGAAGTATACAAGTATTTGTGTAGTTATCATGGAAAGATTGGAAGAAAGCTATGTACAAGATATCTTTGCTGAGAATGGAAGTAGATATCTTGGCATATAAGATAATAGAAAGATGGATAAAGAAGAAAATTTGATTTTGTGCAAAGGAGAATATACTACGAAAATCACTTAACTTTTAGGAGTTAGATAGAAAAGGATGGAGAAGAAAAAAACATTTTCATATGGTTTTTATTGTTTCAGAAAAAGTGTATGCTTGGATGTCCGACGAATTGATATGGTAGGTGCTAGAGAGAGAATTTCTATGGATATATCTATATAATATTAATGATATGTATGGAACAACTACTGTTATGTAGGCTTATGTCAAAGTTCTACTTTAATTTCTTATCTTTTCACTTTAGTCATAGATGATTTTAAGAGACATATCCAAGTTGAGGTCACTTGGTAGGTGTTATTCGCTAGGGTTTCTGGGGTAGAGACTAGGAAGGGGTAAATTAAGATTAGAAGTACTGCAATCCTAGTATAACACATTAGAAAAGAGAAAAGTAGACCGCAATCTTCATGGCCTGACTTCATTGTGTTGTTTGACCTCAAATTTATGGGAAAAGAGAAAAGTAGACCGCAATCTTCATGGCCTGACTTCATTGTGTTGTTTGACCTCAAATTTATGGGAAATAAATAAGGCTTAGTATTGTTGTTGTCTCTTTTCTTATGAATAACACTAATTTCTTGTTTGCTTTACAATTACTCTCAAATTCATCAAAATAGCTATGTACATCATCTAAACTGTCATTCTGTCTAATGATTGTGTAAAATTTCCTTATAGTTTAGATGCTATTGATTTTCATTACTCTTTTCTGTACTATTTGTGCTAAAATTTAATCTCTGCTGCAGCTTGTGTTTGTAGTTCTCACTGGAGAATCCTGGGGCTACCTGGGCAGTCGCAGATTTGTTTTAGAAGCCGATCAACATTCAGACTCCGTTAGAGGCCTCGACTTCGCGATGATTGAAACTGTATTTCTCCTCTGCATGCTCCTTTTAGTGTAATTGGAAACTTACACAGTGCTTTTAACCGTGAACTGTACTTAATTGCTAATCCTTTTCTGTATGATGGGCTATGAGAACTTTGATAACCTTGTTGACTTATAGTCACCAAAATGACATGTCATTACTGTGGCAACACAAATTTCTTTGCTTCAATGTTCTAAACATTCATCGTGTTTTGACGGAGAAGCAGAAAAATTGAATTAATAAACTTTCAGAACCAATTTGTCCTTCCAATTGTCAATTATTTTCATTTCCCAAAAAAGAAAAGAAGGAAATAAAGAATCTATGTCCTGCAGTCGAATGCTATCAGTTGATCTTTTCGTAGAGTAGATTATGTGGCTGACAATTCTTGAAGAACTTTTCTTTTTATTGAATTTCTACCATTCATAAAATGGTACAAAGAATCTAAATCAGAATTTTTATATCTGACATTATATAAAGTCAAATGGTTGATAGGTTGCTTTTAATAGGAGCCATAACCAGCCTTCCATCATATCCTATGTTTCCTTGTTCATTATGAAGTAGCTTATTATTTACATTCTGCTGGACCATTGCAACTTGTGGAAAATGGGGTTCAATATACCAAATCTATGTGTCGGTGAAATTTTCTGAAGACTAGCACCTCTAGTTAATAGATAGATAAAGTGTTGAGGTTCTTGTTGGTAAAAGTTGGCACAAGCATGGGGATAATACTCAAAAATGGTCAAGTTGATGTTCTGCTCCTTCATTAAGCGTCATCTATAACTGACGTAAAACCCAAAAGAGAGTGGACCGTTTTTTAGACTCTTCCTGCTCTCTTTATCATTACTGAGATTTTTTGAGGTTCTAATTTAAGGTTTTATTTTTACCCTTTGTAGGTTTTGATGCATGAATTTTGATGATGTGTTCCTAAAGTATTGGTAAGTAATCTGGCATGTAATGGGAAATAATTGTGGTGGTATGATTTTTGCAGGTGATGGAAATTGGATCTGTTGGAAAGGGCTTATCTAACGGCGTCAAGACATTTTATTCTCATACTTCCGGGGTAAGGCATTTCTTGTTCTAGGAGCTTAACCTACCAATGCAGTGCTATAATAACTTAGTCTTGAGTACTTTGACCAATTACTTAGTACGTTTTTATCTTTGTCTCGATCCTGCCCATGATGCAATAACGTTTTAAACAATTATCATGATAACTTGTCCTCAAGTTTAAATAATTAACCCTGCAGGATACATTGGCTACAAATGAAACATTTCAAGCCTTGCTACGTGCTCAAGATTCCCTGAAAACTGAAAGCATTAAGATCTCCATGGCAAGCACATCAAATCCTGGAGTGCCGCCGTCTTCATTGATGACATTTCTGAGGAAGGTCAGCACTTAGTACATTGTTAGGATTAGTTCATAGGAACAGACTTTTTGTTGCCTATAATAAGATCTCTTTAACTGTACTAATATTTATCTTTCTTTAAATGTTAGATGAATTGATGAAATGTGAATCATATATTGTATTGCTATGCATTTCCTAAATGTAATCTGTTTAACAGAAATCTCAGATTTCTGGTGTTGTTCTGGAAGATTTTGATACTTCTTTTACCAACAAATTCTACCACAGTCACCTGGATGACCTATGTGAGTGAACCCAAGTTCACTTCTGTCTATTTGTCCTGATCTATATGAGGATTATATAATCTCTATTGTATTTTGTTTATAATGTGTTGCTTTGGTGCAGCTAACGTTAACTCTTCGGCCATAGTAACTGCTGCTTCCCTAGTTGCTAGAACGCTATACCTCCTTGCCAATGACCAGAATGCTTCAGCTATAAATGCTATCAATGTCAATGCATCTTTGGTGGAAGAACTTCTTGGTTGCCTATTAAATTGTAAACCAGGCTCATCATGTGAGCTGATGAAGCACTATATTTCTCCCTCGGCAACTTGCCCTAGCCATTATGTAGGTGTTATTCTGGGAGAACCTTCTTCTGTGCCTTATCCTGCTTATGTGAGTGATGTTTCGAGGTTCGTTTGGAACTTCTTGGCCTCTAAGACATCAATCTTTTCAAGAAATATTACCTCTGCCTGCCCTAATGATTGCAATGGTGTTGGTGAATTGTGCATACGAGAAGAAGCTGATGGGAAAGGCATCTGTGTTATATCAACAACCAGGTGTTTATTCTTGCCCTTCTTTTATTTCACCAGGTACATGTTGCAAAAGCGCAGCATTATTGCACGTTGGATTATGAGTACGAGTAGAAGCTGTAGAGCAATGAGATGTTTATTTTCCATGCTTAGGTAAAATCTGGAAAATTTTAATACCCCTCTTAAAATGAATGATCGTTAGTTTTCTATGGTAGGCCAACGTCATTTATCCTAGTTATTTAATGGTCCATTCTTCTGAGGAATAAGCTTGCCTGGAAGGCTTGCATTATCATTTTTTAAATCCCATTCTGCTCATTTGGGCTGCATAATGACTGATTTTCCACTTAATTACTTATTTTTCAATTGTCTCCATTTTTTATAAGCTTCATTTAATCTCAGGTATGTCCCAGCATATTCGACACGGTTGAAGTATGAGTCTGGAAGCTGGACTGTACTACCCTACAATTCTTCAGAGGAGATGAGTGCTGCTGACCCTGTCTGGACAGAGAGTAATTGGGACACAATTAGCCTCAGGGTGTACAAGGTCCAGAATACTGCTTATGATGGCCTAATTCTGCTGTCGGGTATTGTTGTTACAGTTTTGACTTACCTTTTAATACTGATAACCAGAGCTTTCATTCGGAAGGCCCTGAAGTGGGATTGATATACAATGATTGGAGATAACATATTGGTGACTTATGTAATAGCTCATGAGCCGGGTAAAGAAGACTTGTCATAAAATTTTACCGAGCTGCTGATGAAGTGTAAAGAAAACAAAATCATTGCAATGGTCGATAAAGAAATATGTGCAGACATTTGAAGTAATCAATTGGGTATAGCAATTTTTGAGCTGCATCCTTGTTTAACCTATTCTTTGACTATCTAGTATCAGAATGGTGTTATTTCCAATCATACTTTCATATGAGCAGTTCTAATTTTATACTCTCGCAGAAAGGAATGTTATGCTTGAAAATGAAATGATTTATTAGATATTATGGATGATCAGTTATGAAGGGATAGTTTTGTTTTTTTATGCTGGTGCTGTATAGAGCTCTTTCATATGCATGTTTCCTATTTTGGGGGTTGGTTCACGTGCAACATTATACATTTATGGTATACCCATAGGCTTTTTCCTATTGAAAAGTCCAAGTGCTGCACATTCTGCTCTTGTAAATAGTTTGGTACATTCTTATTGTTGCCATGGGGCCTACTTACTCCATTAGCCCAATCTAAGTTTAAGGTGCTGAGGTTCCCCTTCTAAGTTACTAGTTGCTAAGATTAACCTACTAGGGATATGGAAACTAAGCGATGGATTATAAATTCAGTTTTTATTGGAGGAAACCATTATTTTTCCCTTGTAGGGCCACACGCATTGCCATGAAAAAAAAAATTTAACCGTACTTCATTCCCAACATTCCCATCCGTACCTGCCTGCATTTTTAGCCTTGGCAACCCTCACCCAATCGCACTAGCATCTCTGGCTCTCCCACCTGCAACAACCCCTTGTCATTAACACCCCTACGTTAAAGCCCTAATCTGTGACAACTAATTCCATCACCCAACCACATTTCTAGGAGAAATACGAACAAGGTAGGCCTTGGGATAGGTTGTAGGGTGACAAACCAAAAGGGTATGGAGACTAGTGGCCATGGTGGGCTAGGATGGAGTTCAGGTGAGAGATAGCATGCAAGGCATGTGACGCTTTGAAGAAAAGTTGGTAGTGTCTCTGACAATTACTCGTGTGCTTATGTTATCCCTAAAACGAAGGAATAGAGTCTTATACTCGGGAAAACATGACAACAAAAGTAACAAAAAAGTGGAAAGATTGTACAATTGTAATCAAGATTTAACTCAAGTCTAACACACAGGAGAAAATTTGAGATTGAATCCTGGATGATGTGAAAGAAATTTGTTAGGGATAGCATGGACACATGCTCTTCAAAGTTAGACAGTTCATATGTGTTAACGTTTGAACGTGAGACTTAGGTCATTACATTTGCTCTATGGAGAAAATGAACCAAAAGTTCAAGAATATGCTAATGCCAGCTTTCAGTTTCGTAAAGATGATAGCAAATTCATTCTTGATATATATTTGCTCTAAATGATGATCGTTGTTTCAACAACAGAAGTTGAATACATAGCTATTTTAGAAGCAATGAAGGAAGCATTATGGATCAAGAAGTTCTTCATTGAACTCGGAGTGGTTCCTAGCATTATTGATCAATAACTTTTGTATCATTGCACAAGTCAAGAAAAGATGTTTTGGTCATTAGCAGTTCAGAAGTTGTATTGATGCTAGATCATCTCATTAGAGGAATTATACGAAAGAATGACATAAAGATTGAAAAGGTCCCCACACAAGATAATGTAGTAGATCCTTTGACAAATTCGTTGTCCCGGCACAAGCATGATGGTCATGTAAATTCTATTGGTATGGATGTATCAGTAATTGGACCAAGTTTGAATGGGATTTTAGTGATCTAACTTTTGTTAGACATTGATAAGCATAAACATTTCATTCTAGTTAATGCGTTTACATTTTACGGTAAAGTATATTCAATTATGTAATTATATGATTGGACTTTGAATGTTAAGTTCAATTGATTTGTTAATTACTGGGAGTTGTAATTGTAAGATGTAGATCGGGAAAAAAAATCTTAAATTGTCCATGGTCATTAGTAATGACGAGACGTGGATCATAATCATGGAGAGATCAACACGTATGGCATTACTCTCTTGGGAAGAAAGTAAATTGTCTCACAAGCTAAAATGTCAAGACATTTGAATGAATACATGGATAAGTTGTCAACAAAGGTTCACTCGATGACCTACAACAAAAGTTGCATGGAATCCTATATGAGGTTCAACGCACTATGATGGCATTGGATCTTGTTTGTCTAAAGTAACTAAAATGATGTCATACGAGTGAGTCTACAATCACATGAAAATTGATGAATGACCAATATTAAATCATAGATAGTAAGAGATTCTAACGTGCATATTTCAACATCCAATGTTCCTTGATTGGTACGGAGTGATGAGTTGAGAGAAGTTTTTAATTGTAACTCATATTAATGTATAAGTTTTGATGAATAACATAATTGATTATAACAAGATTAATGCTTATTTATATCTACTTCTTGTCATAACACATGATATTTTTTTTATTATATGGATTATCTTGACACATTACTAGGCCCTCGTTTGGCCTCCATTATTCGAGTTTATAATGGGGGGAATAGTATTTTTTTTTTATGAAAAAAGGATAGTTATAAGAGAATGAAAAGTTTTCGTTTTGAGTAATATTATTTTATTGAAGATTGTGTTAATAAAAATATGAGAGAGAAATTTAAATTGAATTGAATAGTTTTAAAGGGGGCCAAACGGGGGCTAGATGTTAATTTTGGACAGTGAATGAATTAATTATCCTAGGTGGATTAATGATAACTTAAAATAGTTTTTGATTTACATTATTCTAATCATAATTCTCAGTCAGATTCAAGATAATAATGCCACCATTCTTTTCATCGTGAATGGAAACCTGTTTAAAAAGTATTTCATCAGATATTCTTCCTAAACCAAAGATGATCCTGGTTTAGGCATTTAACACATTTAAGCAAATATCCAATAATGGTAATATTGCAAAACAACTTGGGCTACACCTTCATGATTTTGAAAAGTCAAAAGGACCTTTTGAAACCCAAAAGCTATTTTTAGGCCCGTTTATCTAATTTTACAAAAATGCTTTTTTCAGTTAAAAGAGCTTTATAGGAAGTTGGAACAACGTAACTCTCTTTAAAAGCACTCCTAGAATAGAACGTTCTTTTAAAAATTAGTATAAACAAAAATTAAAGTAATTTCTGCAAAAGCTCTTATATAGAAAGCAAAAGTCAATGCAAACGGACCCTAAATGCTACGAGGTGATGTGAACTTTGCTTTCCACAATTTCTATAGTAAATGTTCCACTTTGGAAACAGAGATCCATGCTCTGCGAGATGGCCTGCGGCTCTGCAGTGAAAAAGGTTCCCAAAACTTTGATGCTAAACTGGACTCCTTAAGTGCAATCGTATGTATCCAAAAATGAGGCAAGGTCAACGAAGAATAAAATAAATTTACCGTGAAACTAACAACTTTTGCAAAGAAAAATCCTTTGACGTTGAATTTTGGTGAGAACACGTGGCTGACAGATTATAGCTCCACTCTCATTCATGTGTTAAGTTCTTGCACACATGAACAAAGCATTAGATACATGTGACCTCTTCTCTAGCAATGGGGGAAGCGATCATGGGTACTCCAATGCTCAAAGTCAACAATGGGATATAATGTGTTTGCCGAAGAGACAATAAATGAGAACAAAATATTAGATGCATGTTGACCTACTATTGAAGAGTAAAATTGAATTACCTTTGGAAGATACAGGTGTGAGCTTATATAGTAGAAGGGAAGATGTGATGTATGTTGATTATGTAACGGTTCATGGGTTAGACTTCATAGGTGTCATTCAGCTATCCTAGGTCAGTGACGACCTTAAATAAACATCTTAAGCCTACCACCTAAAAAGTAGACTGAAAGCGCCTGATGTAGAGCTATCATATTTGTCAAATGTACGAAATTTCTCATAAGAAAGATAAATAGGTTGAAGCAATTTTAAGAAAGATGCCTTGTGAAGCATAGGCTTATCTTTCAAAAATGCGTTGCAGCCAATTGAGGGACCACGCTTCGGGTATGTAGGTTCGTCCTCTGTGATGTCGCTTCGATTGAGGTGCCCAAATCACTTTTGTCTATACTTAATTTCCTCAACTAGATTTTAGTCAACAAGGTGATATTGAGTGTGAGCCTTGAGTGGCTTCTTATCATCTTCTTAGCTGGTTGTCACGATGTCTATCCCGTGGGATGAGTAGATTGATTTTTCAATAGGCTTTTGCTTATGAAATATGCTCATGGTTGAAGTGTTATTTTTCATAGACGGTCGCCAATCTGTTAACTCAAAATTAGATGAGAACACATGTCCCACTAGGTCTGACTCCATTCCCATCCATGTGTTAAGTTTTTGCCCACTTAGACAAAGTGTTAGATGCACATAGCCTCTTCTTCGCCTGTGAGGAAGACAATCACGGGCACTCCAATTTTCAAGTCAGCCAATGTTGAAATATAAAATGAATGTGGGATAGACAGTGAATATAAAAATATTTTATCTGGGTTGAAGAGAAATACCAAGATATCCACAATTGAAGTATAAAATTGTAATATTTGTGGAAGACGCTAAGTATGAGCTTATATAGTAGAAAGGAAGAGGTGAAGTCTGTTGAATGTGTGACATGTAGTTTCATCTTAAAGGCTCACGAGGTAAGATCTAATTAAGTGTCAATAAGCTCTCCTAGATCAGTGATGAACTTAAAAGTGTCTCCGTATGTCCTAGGCCTGCCACCTGGAGATTAAATTGAAAAGTTCATGAAAAACTCTTGATGTAGAGTTTCTAAATCTATCAGAAATATGAAAGATCTTGTAAGGAAAACCTTTAGACTGAAGCGATGTAAAGAAGATGCCTTGGTGAAGCACAGTCCTATCTTCGAAAGTACACTTCAGGTAACTATGGGACCTTGCTTTAGACATGGAGGTTTTGCCTTTATGATCTCACTTCGACTGAGGTGTCCAAATCACTTTGGCATGTGCCAAATCGCCTAGACTAGGCTTTGGTGAACAAAGTGATGTGGAGTGTGGGGGCATTGAGTGACTTCTTATTGTCTTCTTAAAGGTTGAACCTCAACCTTGAGAGTCCCCTACCGTCCCGCTTTTGGAGTATTGTGAGGGAGGTAAATCGTGGGATGTGTCCCAACAGGCTAGAAAACAAGAGTTTGTCTGTACACTGGTGCCCACAAAGAGTCCAATTTCATATCTCAGGAATCGAACCTTCACACTGTGGCTGTCAATAAGGCTGAGACTACCTCACTTCTGTCCTTTGCACCATTGGACTATGCTCGAGGGGGCGACTTCTTACTGTCTTCTTAGTAGGTTGTCATGTGGTTTGCTTCG